TAAAAAATATATAAATTTTATGTATTAATTAAATTTCACATATGAATATAGGTTTTTGACATTTTCGACATTTTTGACAGTGAAGTTTTTGACGTGACGGTTTAAACCATGGTTTAAACTGTCAAAAACTGTCACATGTCAAAAACCTGCCAACCCTGGTATAATTGAAATGTGTTTATTAAACAGCTAACTATTTTACATATAGCTAAAGGAAAATTAAAATATTATATTTAAAAGCTTTGTATTTCTTTCATCATTTAGTATTTCTCTCTCTTTTTTAAAATTTTTTTATTTTGAACATTAACTAACAATTTACATATATATCATTATCATCAAACAAACAATAAAATCATGTATAATAGATTATAAATATACTTTTAATAGCATATTTATAATTTATCTTAAATAATATTGTTGACTTATATCAATGATTTCTAAGAAAAAAAAAAAAGTTATCACATGATTTAAATTATGCCTAACCTACAATTCAGAGACACCAAATAAAAATAATATAAGAACACTGACTTCCATATTCTGCAGAAACATCGGATAATTAATGGGAATTATGCGATGCTTCTGCAGAATATTGATTAATTCCTATTAATCTGCAGAATAGTTTAAACATGATAATCTGCAGAAACATGATAAATCAATATCTGTAGAAACATAATAATTAATGCCACTCTTTTGTATTTGATTCAATATGTTAAGAAAATGAATTATAAAAGGTCCATAAAAATTTAGTTGTATTACCACACATATAACTTTCTAATTTGACTTAAAATAATCATAGACTTAGTAATTAACACAAATTTCTTTAAAATGGGCTATAAGTAATGCTTCAGTTCTCAGTTGATAAGTTAAAAAATTTGTTTTATCTAATCCAGAGAAAAAATATATCTGAAATACACTTAAACAAAACTATTTACTAAGTAAGGAAGAAAAAAAGTTTAACACGAATATGACATTGAGATACTATTGGAATGAGCAAATATGCGGTGTCTTTAATCACCAAGTCTTGGCAACTTCAGAGCAGGGACCCTCAAGAAACTAAAAAAAAAAAAGTGACAGAAACGTACAAACTCAGAGAGTATAACTCGCAGCCACCCCCAGGCAAATTTCTACTTGTTATTTTTAAAAATGTTTCCTGTTTAAAATCAATTTAGCACCTTGGCGATCACAATATACGTCACTTGGCGATCACAATATACCTAGAAATATCTGCCATGAGTAGATACGGCCCTTTGAGTTTTACCACAGATCCTCCCAAGAAAATTCATCCAGAAAAGTATAAGGGGATATTTCCATATCGTGATCTGTGGAGCCAACTGCTATCGCCAAGGTGCCAAATAAATTTTAAACTTGCAATTTTTTTAACGAAAAAAAAACATGTAGATGTTTGCCCGGGTTATACCCTTCGAGTTGGTTCCTTTCAGTGATGTTTTTTTTAGTTTTTCGAGGGCCGCTGCCAGGAAGTTGCCAAGACTTGGTGATTATTCTGCCACACATCAGGATACGGTAATCTCCCAAAGTATAACAGATTGTGTTCTGTCATTAACATAAATTTACAATTTTAATTCATATGTTAGATAATTACTATGAAATAATTATACAAAGGTAGTACTGAGAAAAAAAATTGCTCTTACATATCCAAAGTAAGATCTGTCAGCAAAGATATAAACAACAACAGCAGAGAAAAATGAAATTATAAAAACGCTAAGGAAACGTCTTTTTATAGTTGATGGGTGATCTCTGAAATGAAAATAAAATCATTGAGAAATCCTATATTTAAAAAGACTGGAGAGGCCTCCCCCTCTTTTCTTTTTTTACAAAACTAAGAAGAAAAAAACAGCATAAACCTTCCATGAGTATTTGGCCAAATATATAAGCTTCCTACGTATATGCATGCAAGGAGAATGCAAATCATAACATTGGAGAAACATCCTAAATAATGTTCGTTTGAGAAATTCATTTTCTTGGACTCATTTAGGGGGTAATAAGCTCGATAACCATAGTTTTATACACATCACGAAAAATAGTGAATTCGGCATCTGTTCTCTTTAAAATGTTTAATAATAAACAACTCCATAACAACCACAGAACATGTGATAACTTTACAGGAAACAGAGTCCCGGAAGTACGAAACCGGCCCAGAAATTCAATCCATTGCCATTAAACTCGGCAAACTTTCCCAAATTTTTAAACGATCACAGGAAACCACGGTAGTCGGTCACTGGAATACACGATAGTAACCCTGAAGTTTGCAATTCGCGATTGCAACACTCGAATATGCCATAGGAGAAGACCGGTTCCATGTCTCAACCCTTCATGTCTAAACTCGCAACCGTCGAACGTTATTTCGAACGAACAAAATTTTTAAAAACGATTATATTGCACAACGATATTATACAATTTATAGTAATTCTTATTTATATTATATACGATTTAGTAATCCTATTTATTTATTATGTACTAATCTCAGTTAACTCGCCAATTTTTTTAAAGAAAAAATAGCAAAATTTTACTAAAAAACGAGTTTTTCTTTAAACTATGATGCATTTTTTGCTCCAAACATTTTGAAAATATTACAAGATAGTTAAGAAGAAGTTAATGAGAACACGACAATAACATATTATGGCTAACTATTAAACATATTATGACTAAACATATTATGGCTAAGAATACACAAAAATTTGGAACAAAAAAATTTTCACGTTTTATTTATAGTTGTGCAAGATTATTATAGATTTTATTATAAATTATGCAAGCAACTAATTATTTAATCGATTAATTATATGAAATAAAAGATTTGTGAGAGAAAAAATTACGTCTGAAATGTGTTCATAAAATATCTAGGCAAATGATTATAAAAAATCATAAAATATCTGGGTAAAAATTATTTTTGAAATCGGAAATCTAATTTAATCCCAGCGTTAAACGCATCCTATTCGAACGTTCGAATCTCTTTCACCAGCAAAGTGTTAGGTGAAAGACATCCGATAAATAGGAGGAAAAATGAAGATCGCATCCCGTTAGCAAAATCCGTTCGAAAGCGCGAGGTTACAGGTTTTCCATAGGAGTAGAAACGTGACGTCAAAATGACTTTATTTTTCTGTTCCTAGTCCGTTCGATGGTTGCTAGTTTAGAGCTCCAGATTTAGCCTTATTGGGCCCGGGACAAAAACTTTTTTTTTTTGCCCTCCCCCTCTGCTTCAGTAATGAAGAACCAAACTTTGTGGAGGTATTTAAATTTCTCACCTCATTATAGATAACAAGAAAATTGACTAGAACTTAAAATAGCTATAAAGTTCACTCCCGCCCTCCTATGGTTAGACGAAATATTGTTCTGTCCATTTTATTGATTTTCTGACAATTCTATGGTCCATTATGCCGAATGCAGTTTTGTGACAGTTCACTTTGTCGCAGCAAAAAATTAAGCGTTAACTATCTAACAGAAAAATTCATATCCTAGTTGACATTAGGGCGGAATTGGGTATAATATAGCCTACGTCACAGGTTGTGTTGTTACTACTAAATTTAACCCATGAACGGCATTTTCTGCGAGCCTAACTTCAAGCCACAACTATTCANGTTAAAAAGATCTGAATTTTTTTTCTTCTTTTCTTTTTCAATTTGCCTTTTGATCAAAATGACAAGCAATAAAAACTATTTACCGAATTCCAATGGCTTTTAACCTCTGTAATATATGTTGTACGTTCATGTTAAAAACCAGATTAACTGTAATTTTTTTCCAAAAAGGAAGAAAACAGGAAGAAAACCGAAACAGGACAAGTTTTCGGGTTTTCTACATCTTAACTAATGGGTCCCTCCATTTTAACATGACTAAAATTATGATTGCCTAGAAATGACTAAATGGTTAGGATTTTTATAAAACTATAAGACTGTTTCAAAGCGGAAAAAAAAGCCGGCTAAATTTGTTAATCAGTAAATTTGCTTTGCTATTACTTTTGTTTGATTTAAACTGTGTTTCAATTATTTTTACACTACTTGCGCATAAATCGAGGTGACGAAAATGAAATTTTATTGGAAAAAATAACTCAATGAAATAAAAATTTGAAGACAATACTTAAGGAAAAATATATATATACAGTGGTGACCAAAAGTGTGGGCACTTTTTGAAAGTTTCATGTTTTTCAACTTTGTGTGCTTGTAGAATATATTAATTTTCACTTAAATACAAACGTTTATACATCAAATTGAAGATAATTTAATGTAGAATTTAATAATAAATATAGTATTGCAATATCTGTATTACAAAAAAAGTTACGCAACTAATAGTAAGATCTATCTTAGATTTGCATTTTTTTAGAGCGATACTTACACAATCAGTACTTAGTAGGATAACCTACAAGAATTTTCAAACGTCGTCGCAAATTTTCAATTGGATTGAGTTCAGGGCTGTTTCCTGGCCATGTTAATATATCTAAGCATTTATTTTGAAACCATGCTTTGCATACTTTTGCTGTGTGGCATGGAGCTGAATCCTGCTGAAAAATAAATGGTGCGTTGTTGGGGAAGAGATCCCTGATGGAAGGTATCAATTTTAGTTTCAGGACAGTTTTGATGTATTTTTTGGCATTCAGGATGCCATCAGTCACTTGAATTCGGCCCACACCATCTGCAGACATACATGCCGAAATCATGACATTCGTTGGGTTTTTTGTAGTTACTTCAATGCAATCAGAATGAAGTGCTTCACCTACTCTACGTCTCACGTATTTTCTCCCATCACTACCAAAGAGCGATATTTTACTCTCATCGCTCCAGATTACTTGCTTCCATTGATTTTCTGACCATTTAATTTGTTCTTTTGCCCACTTAATTCGTTTTTTGCGTTGCTTTTGATTTAAATATGGTTTTTTCCTTGGAATTCTAGCTTGTAGTCCAAATCCTGATAACCTTCTTATTGTTCTTGAACTTACTGCAATACCCGCTGCATTCATTTCGCATATATATATATATATATTGGCTGTATGAAGGAAGTATATTTTTACTAAGAGTATTTTTTTTTCGTTTGTCGCTAGAGAAGGAGAGAGAAAAAAAACAAAATGCTTATAGATGGAAATTTTGAGATGAAGTGATGTCAGCTGTTTCCGATATGTGACAAGCAAATTCTGTCCCCCTTTCATCCCCAATCGAAATTTTATTCTCCCCCCCCCCCATAAACGAGCTGCCAGATTAAACTGAAATAAATAAATAAATAAGTAAATAGAAAAAATAATTAAAAAATATTGAAAACTGCGTCTTTCAAAGGTACTAAAAATTTTAAAATTGTTGTATTTGTATCACATCTAAAATGACAAATGAAGGGCCCATTAGGTTAATAAATTTTTATCACCGAAACTAATGCATTTTATCTAATTTTATAACAGTCGTTGAATAGCCAATCCAAATTTTTGAGTTTACAACTTTCAATATTCAAATCCGTAACTTTGTAAGTTTGATCCCAATCCAGAAGACAAGGGAACTCCTGGATAAAGCATTGGGCGAAATTTGCCTTCATGGAAGACTTTCTGATTTAACTAACCTGCATTTGCGTTACATGGTGAGGAACACCACGAAAAACCACCACGGTTAGCCTGACGGCAAGTGGACTCTAACCCATGATCCGACTACCACTGAGGATATTCTACGTCAGCTCTGTGATCGGTGCGAGTCGGGTGCGGAATTTGTATTGACCAGCCTTCGCTAGGATTCGAATCCGGTTCACTTCATTGGAAGGCGAACGCTCTCTCCCCTGAGCCCCCCATTTTTGAGCCATTATATGTGCTTTATAAATTTTGGCTTCGCCATCGGCCACAGGGTGACTAAATAAGACAAGTGACAGTCGCCACCCAATCGCCACTTCTTTTAACCAAAATGCAACACATATGCTTTTATTATTATTTTTTTAAAAAAAGAAATATACGTTTATCCTGAATATTTTTTAATATTCTGCGCTTGTTTGTTAAGAACATGAATTAAAATTTTTCTTCTTTTGGATACGAAATTCGAAATATTTAGCATATTTCGAGAATTTCTACAAAATAAATGCCTTTCATTATTAATATCAATGGTAATTTTAAATCACTTAAAATTAGCAACTTTTGAGGCCATTTAAAAAACAAAATATTTTATAAGAAGTAGCCATTGTTAAACATACAAACATCAAAATTCTTGGCTACTGGCCAACAGCAAAAATCCACGTTTGTTAGTTTTATTCATGTATAGTAAAAATTACACCCTATCTTTATTCGGATAACATTTCGAACTAAATGTTGATTAAAATTATTTTGTTATCATCATTTTTCACAACTCCGCTATTTGGACGTCCGAATTTTGGCTTTTGTAGTTGAGCAGTAAATGATACAAAACAATTTTATGAAATATTCAACAAAGTGCATTTTGAATATCGACATTTATCCCTGTTTAACGATGTTTAACAGTAATTTTGTTAGCATTCACCAAAGCGTCAACATTCCAGATATTTTTCGTTAATATGAGCATGAAAATATGTTAAAAAGATCTGAATTTTTTTTCTTCTTTTCTTTTTCAATTTGCCTTTTGATCAAAATGACAAGCAATAAAAACTATTTACCGAATTCCAATGGCTTTTAACCTCTGTAATATATGTTGTACGTTCATGTTAAAAACCAGATTAACTGTAATTTTTTTCCAAAAAGGAAGAAAACAGGAAGAAAACCGAAACAGGACAAGTTTTCGGGTTTTCTACATCTTAACTAATGGGTCCCGCCATTTTAACATGACTAAAATTATGATTGCCTAGAAATGACTAAAAGGCTAGGATTTTTATAAAACTATAAGACTGTTTCAAAGCAGAAAAAAAAAAGCCGGCTTAATTTTTTAATCAATAAATTTGATTTGCCATTACTTCTGCTTGATTTCAACAGTGTTTCAATTATTTTTACACTACTTGCGCATAAATCGAGGTGACGAAAATGAAATTTTATTGGAAAGAATAACTCAATGAAATAAAAATTTGAAGACAATACTTAAGGAAAAGTACCCCTATTGTAGGTGTCACCTTTTCATTTAGAATTTAAGTTGAAATAATTCTAGAATTTTTCATACCCATAAGATATTTGCTCTCCGTTCAATTAAGCATAAATTTTTTTTGCTGCTGTTGATAATATTATAATTAGAAAGTTATTTTTCGTAACAATTTAGTGCCTTCGTGTTTTTATCTACTTTCTGCCCCAGATTACTTATAGATTTATGTTGTTTTTTGCTTTGAACTTATATTT